TCAGAAATAACCACTAATTGGTCACAATGATAATTCGAATTCGATAAGAAGATTTTCAGCTGACAAAATCATTGTGTTAATTGCGAAAAGGTGGTGTGTGCCTTCCGTGCATTGTGATGTACGTATATTTGAATCCACGTTCTTTTAAAGCTTCAACGGAAGTCGTTTTCATCCTGAGGATCATACTCATGAAGTAAGTACAAGAATGTCGATTAAATTTGGGTATAATACTCACTAGATCTGTAGTAAATTAAAAGGGCCGTTTCTTTAATTGTTCTATGAAGAAAAAGTTGATAAATATTACTTTGCGAAATAGGGTCGGCCGCCTAGATGAGAAGATGCCATAACTTGTAAATTTATCGGACAAATGATGAGTCATCTTCATTGATTATATTGGAGTAAAAGGTGAAGATTATAATTGAGTACATGTGTTCAGATAGATCTCGTTTAAATCCACCACTTAGCTCATTAATGGATAAAGTCCATTTACAGGAATATTAAATACGATATTCAATGACGCGAGGATGGTTTGTTGTACTGAAATGAAAAAGATTACAATTTGTAATAACTAGTGTAAATAATGTGCAGGCCATTTATTTTTAATGACGATTTAACATAATTTTTCATTTAAGTATTCTTGAAATGAAAATTAATGACCCAATCTATGCCCCCCCCAATCATTTGTGCTTACCAATCGTCAGCCTTAAGATCATGACGTAACTAAGGCCCTGTCTGAATGTGGTAATTGTGATGTCAAGAGCGCTCTTAAAGAGTCCAAGTGACATTATTTGCATTCACTGACTCATATTGTCTTTAAATATATCTTTACTTTGTTAACGAACTTCATATATCTTGTAATGGGGTGTGTGATAGACTTACCTCCACGTGGTGCACCCTGGGCAACGTATACTCATACGGGAAAAAGTCTGTTAACAGGCAGTTGACTTCTCACTTCAAACTACTATGACCCGATTCTATGCCATATTTTATCAATTCCACAATACTAGTCTTACCTTTCCTCTGCATTTGTGTCTGTTTCTTTTACACCTTTGAAACACTCTTTTCTTCCCTCCCTCCCCCTCTCGTGTTTTTTTCACTTCAATTTTCCTTCCCCTCTGTGAAGCCTGAAGTCAACTAAATGGCTAATGATAACTATCATAACGTCTGCCATTTGATATAAATAAATAGATAAATATCTTGTAATAACTTGGGCAGAGTAGAACAGCCTATGGATAGTAATCTTTTCAATATAACCCGTGCGAAAGCAGAAAATATGCCAGATTGGCTTCTTAAACCGAGTGGACTATTTGAGATTTCACTAATTGACAAGTCTTCACATAGGTAGTATTCGAAGCCCCACAAATTGCATAACTCATAGCAAGTGCTGAGTAATGGGATTGCACACATAGGTGTCAATGGAATAATGATTAAAACGGGAGATGAAGCACACAGTGACGCGCCAGTGATGCTTCACAAACGTACGGGTGAATCCGTGTTCCTCGCGCAATTCATATGTAGAGAAAAGGATGAAGTCACTGTAACTAGTAGGAGAATGACATGTATGGATGACGATGTGATTGGATTAAATGAGTCATCATATTGATCTATATCGAACGTAACTTAAGTTATTATTGGACGCACAATGCAATTAGTACCTTTCGAGGCAGTGGAATAAATCTTGCCACATTTAAAAAGCTACCAAAATGTGATTAATGTGTCAGTTCATCAAATGCATAAATAAATACTTTCTACTTCTAATAATAGAATCTATCGGTCATAAACAGTGGAATGCTTAAATTATCGAGAACTCGAGTAGAGTTAGGGAAAAACCCCTATTGTATACAGAGCTTTATATTCACTCGAACTTTATTTAATTTAGATTTCCAATTTTTGATCAATGTGTATATATCATTGTTGCAAACGACCGTATTGGCTCAAATATTCCTGCGAGCAAGGCCTTTGTTCTACAAACAGTTCATCTCTAAAAGCTGTTAAATAAACTGACTAAAACTATTCTACCATTCGTGTCATATATATATATATATATATATATATATATATCAAATGGTGGGCTTTATGATACTTATCATTAGCCCTTTAGCTGACTTCGGGTTTCAAAGTGAGAAAAAGTGGAGAGGGGAACAGAAGAGTGATTCAAAGATATAAAAGAGACATACACAATGGTAGATAAAAAGGTAAGACTAGTACTGTGGAAGTTGTGGAATACGACAAACAGTGGAGTCAAGGCAGTTTGAAGTCAGAAATCAACTACCGGTAAATAGAATTTTTTTGCCGTATAGGAATACGTTGCCCAGGGTGCACCTTTTTGTGACTATGATGTTCCTCCCCTACGCGAAGTCAGAAATTCACTAAAGGACTAATGGTAGCTACTATAAAGCTCGCCATTTGTTATAAATAATAATGAAATGAAAATTAATCGTGACAACGTAACGTGACAATCGTAAATATGATTAACGATGGTCTATGTTTAGAAGTTAAAGCAACACCGAGTCATCTTCTACCGTCCATGCTCTTATTTCCATCATCTCTCGGTCATCATCATCATCGTGAAACAGAAGCAAGCACTTCTCTGACTGCAGCAACTCAAGGCATATTCTACTTCCTGAATCCAGAACATTTTCATACCTCCCTCTCTCTCTCACACACAATTTTATGTTATTTTCAATCAAAGAACTATCCTTACTAAGTTCCACTGTGACTTTGTTTCCTCCATGTAACAAACTACTCCCCTTGCATGCAACAGCGGATGACATGTTCCCTGACACATGCAAATAATGCAGTTGCAATCATCCCATCCAACATTTAATGAGCGAAATTGCAATAAAAAGTTGTTGGCTCTTCCAAATCCATCAAATGTAAAGGCATGGTTGTTTACTTCGGAAGATCACTAGGTTCCTTATCTTTTCCTTAGTTTATACCATTTCAACACTGCATTTAAACAATCAGGACATAAAATCGTCTTTTTTATCTAACATTCGAATAAAATATCAAAACTAAAACATCTATATGTGTATCTACTTATCCAAAGCCACTGTGAGCTGATAAACTTTTCATTTAAATTATAAAGTAAAAAATTTGAAGATTTCATTGTTCTTGAGAGCAAGGAGTCTCATATTCTGTTGGCCATACAGCTTCTTGATAATAAAAGCAGATTGATAGGTCACTTTTGGTGTGTTCAAATGCAAAATTAATTGTGTTTAATATAGGTAAAGATAGAACATTTGTTTTAATAGTATGGCAAAGTGTAGTCCACTGATTAATTATTCAATGCCTATAATCACTGAGATAATGGTGGCATATTCATCCTTTATATCCGATTCTACTGGCCCTAATTGTGAGTTAGAAAGCCTGAATATTATCAGGCATGTAGGAAATTTGGAGAAAAATCCTGATTGCTGCGCATCCTGTGAAAAAATTTTAAAAATTCAACAATTAATCAGCTCAACACTAATTGTGGCCTCACATTTTTCAAAGTAAAAACCTTGCTAAAATACCCCTTTATGAATGCTGAATATTGACGCTGACCATTCGATAACGAAATTGTATACACGCTTGTCTGATGCCTCAATATTATTGGAGTTTGTTGAAATCTATCATTAAAAATTTCTGACTATTTAGATACCAAATAAAGAACGCTGTTCTAAAAGTAAATGCTTGTAGATGCACGCCCTAAGAAGTCTAAAAATACCTTCTTTTTAAGGTGATTTGAGTACAATCGGGAAGCATTGTAATCTTTCAACAAAAAACCCATTTGAAACAAGTATTTCCATTTTCCTGAAGGCTTCCTCTCGCTGATCAAGTATTCTAAAGTGATTGTGTTTTCGTTTATTGGGCTTGAAGCTTATGACAGTAGTGAAAGGAACACTTTTTATGTCTAGTTTAACTGTCTTATACTTGCTATGTATCAGACGATGTCTCACGTGAAACGGAATGAGTGATTTTCAAGGGAGACAGCGCTAGACGGCCCTTAATCCACAATTCCACATCCATGCAAGCCGTTTAGACGTTTTTTAACACACCATAGGTTGCTGTGGCTTACTTACATTCAAGACCAATCGATTTCAAAGGACCTGTTTAAATTTAACCCAGTGGAATTATAAAAGAGGCTTTTGTTGAGTTAGAGCAAAACTTGAAACCTTCTTTGTGACATAGACACACCTTGAGGTTTTATTTACATCTCATAAGAACCTTAAGAAAAGATGGGGTCCATAAAGCATTTTTAAATCTTTGCAAATCTTATTTTCAATTATCTAGGCGTTAATTTAGAATAAACAAAATTGTTTATTCGTATAGTGACATAATTCATCAAAAAAATCCCAGAATTCCTTTTCAGAAAAAAAAGAACTAAAATTTTCCTGAAACACAAAACTAATTTTTATTTGTGTCAGACAAATTATTTGCCAATTGCGCGTAGTTAGGGCATGCTAGAAGGACACCCTCAATGATTGCACAATATTCAAATAAAGCACCGTCATTGTTTGATTACAGCACCAACACATCAGGGTGACAGTTAGCTTGCATCGTACCTACCTGTTTCCTTTCGGTTCCTCCTCACTAGCGATTCCATCGATCGTTTCTATGTCATACACTCGCAAAAAGTAAACTTAAACTGAAATTTCGTAGCCAAAAAAGATGAGTTTCAATCCGAATTCTACTTCTCCAAAATTTCAATTCTGTGTTTTTAATGAAATCAAATGACAGTGTGTCCTTGGGCAAGATAAAGAAAGCTATTATAGCAATTACTAATTTAAGACACCACTATTTATATATCAAGCAAATTTAAGTAACACATTCCTGTAAACCTATTTTTTGCCTAAATGTCTGAAATTTTTGGCTTAAGGTATTCAATTGGATGGCATATTAATAACTTCTAATACATGACCTTGGCGTTAACCATGGAAAGTGAATGACCTCGATCAATTAAGTAATTTTAACTTAGCACTCCCTAACCCTCCCATCCTGCAACTTGTTTTACACGAATGACCTCCTGCCCGTCGTCAAGTGTATCTAGAGTGGCAATCTACTCGTCACAATGTACAAAGACACGAGTGAATCAAGGTGAGTTGAACCTGGGTCATCTGGAACTTTCATGCGTAAGTCCCAATATGTTAGGGTATCACTCCCACTTATTTAATTACGCGAAACAAATTTGATGTAACTTAAGATGCAGCTAGTACAAATAAAACCGTTATAAATTAAATTAAAGGAACTTAAAGCACTCTCTTCTGCCTTGTTTCGATTAATTTGTGAACGAGATCCCCACATTAATTTCTGCGCAGTAGTGTTCTCTTTCGCTAGTTTTAACCCCATAATTAATGTCAACTGTGAATAGCACATTTAAATCTTAGTTGCTAGGGCGCCAGGTGCAGCTTCGAAAATTCCCATTAGTTGTTATATATCGAAAAAAGATAATCGTCATAAAAAAATCATTAATAACTTTCATTAAATAGTTCTTCGAATTTTGCGCTACCTCCTAGTCCAATCCTCTCTAGTAAGGTTGTTTTAATCGCTTTCTGTCGAAGAGAACAAGCGCCATGCTACCGTACTGCTTCAAATGTACTTTCACAAAAAAAGAATATTCTAAATTCAAGCCTATGGCCACTTGCACTCAACGAACAGGAAAGAAGAAGACTCAAAGCTCAAACGGCGACCTCTTAGTGAGAAAATAAATTGTCTGATAAGTGCTCACGAAGCTGACTAATGATTGGCTGTCTGGTTGGCCAATAATTGTGGAGATGGCTTTTTCGTGGGTGGTCATGCATATCTAGTTGTAATCTTATGAAATCAATAATCGATAAACCTGAACAAGTGAAATGAATTTTTCATGTTTCTCACACATGAAGCGAAAATATTCACCTAGACATTCCAGCATAACTGAAAATGAGAAGACAGAAAGGGTAATACCAAGTCCAGCCCCGGCTAATACCTCACGATATTCAAATAGATGTAGTATATTCTTTTTAAAAGGCGCAATTTTAAAACAAGTAGAAGTTAGCCAAAAATCAGCTTTATCGTTATAATCTGACCTACTCTTTACTTTTAAACTAATTTGTTTATTGATGTATTTTAGTATTATATTAACACCGGGCTCCACAATGTTTCGATCAGGACTCACTATTTTGTCTGTGAATATCTTATTGGCCACATTTTGTACTCGAATTTTGATCTACCGTTCTCTTCAATGATCTGACTTCTTTTATTAGCAACTATTGTTAGTTTGGGGGAGGGAGGTTAATATAATCGATTGACAGAAGTTTCTACTAATGAAAAATAAGAACGATAAAAGGTTTGTGCCTCTGATTTTCGGTTTGAGTTGCATATTGAATGCTTCCCTTTTCAAGCCTCAATTTGTTATACTTCCAATCGTTTTACCTCCTTATTGACTAGTTTTTTTAAATCTTAATTGCTAATATGTCAGTAAAGAATGACTCAATAATCTAATTGAAAAACACAGATTTTGGTAATAACAACTTGACAACCATATATTGGATCGATGAGCCAACTGATTTGAAAGTTACCCCGAAATGTAGAGGCAAAATTTGCCAAAGAAATGCTATAATTGGCTACTCAGATTATTTAATCTCTAGCCAGCCAATTGGCATAGAGTACAGTTATTTATTGACTATAAAGGTTATGCGATGGAGATTTTACTCCTACTTCGTTGACAACCATGCCATCCTTGCTCAAGCCATTCTTCCTTATGACAAGCAAGTGAAATTTACTGAATGAACTTTGTTTAAAGTATGAAATTTCCAATGAAAGATAATTCGCATATTTTTTTCTTCTTTTAGTTATTTGCGCGATCTTAGTTGAGTGCGCTCTCGATAGAGAATTGGAAAGACAATTGAACGTCTATTTAAACCAAACATATCGCAGTTTCTATTTCTACGAACGCCTTGTACGTTTTCTACCAATCTCTGAAATTCCATTATTTGAAATATTAATTTAGATAAGAAGGAATAACTTTGCATTACAGAATTTTCGTGTTGAACCACCTGCATTTACCATTATAATTATTGGAATCTGAGATTAAAATACTCTCATAAATCTATTCTGATTAATGCAAAAGTACTCTAGATGTTGTTGCATTTGATGTGTTCACAGTTTGCTAGCGTCTCTACAATGCGAACACCTACCACTTTAGGCTCGTATTTGTTTTTTTTCGCAAAAACACAATAAAGAACTTCTTCTTTAGGCACTTGAATGCACATAAGCAGGATGGAGACTCCAACAGGAGGGCCGATGGTAGAGGATGGCTAGTGGTTCAATAAAAAAATTTGAATTCTGAATTCATCCCATTGTTCACATATTATCGCCTATTCGCTGTGATCATAAAACCAGATCACTCGTTGACATGACAAAATGGCGTGAAAGAAGGATTCAATCATAATGAGATCCATAGTATAATTACATCTACTAATTTGTTATAAGCACTATGTTTTGTGTTTTAGGCGGCACACTTCAGTCGAAGTGACAAAGCACTCTTCGGTTTCGCCGAATACTTCAGGAAGGCAGCAACGGAGGAGCGCAATCGCGCACATATATTGGTAGACATGATTAATAAACGTGATGGAACAGTTAATATGAGTTCAGTCGGCGATGGAAGTTCACTTTCTATGGGAGGGATAGACGCATCTCAAGCCTTGGATCAGGTTATCAAAAAGGTAGATGAAGTTGCTCTCGAACTTGAACAACTCTACCATAGTGCACTTATTGCAAAAGACGCTTACGTAAGTGAAATTGTAGACATCTTGGAGAGCAATTTAATGTCAAAACATCACCTTTGTGTGATTTACCTCTCACCCTTAGGTACAGAGTAGACTTGTTCAATTTATGGAGGACCAAGTGGAGACAGTCGACAAGTTTAAAGCCCTCAAGGCTAGATTGCGCAGCGTAAACAAAGGTCTTGAATTGCTTCTTGACCAGGAACTCAGAGGCTTTCTTCCATTTCTAAAGTAGATGTGTGTTTGTGTGTGTGTGTGTGTGTGTATGCGTGAGTGGGTTTCAGGGTATTTTAATGTTGTAACTCCTGATTGTAAAATTTTGTATCTCTGATTCCTGACTTTTGTGAAATGAATTCCTAAATAAACACTTGGTGCTTTATAACCTTTTTCTATTTATTTGATGGGGAAAAGTCTTTCTGGAATGAAATGGGACTCTAAAAAAGATATTTGAATTTTCATGCTTCTGCTATTTTCACCTCTTTGCAGCATCCTTTTCAGTTTACTAATTTACTTGCATAGGTCACAAATCGGATCACCAAAGTCGAACAGTTGACCACTTGAATGCCCGATTATGATAACAGTGGGATATTGAATAAATTACCTAAACTGAAAAAACCAAAATCTCATCTACAATTCCTTTTTCAAGCAAATGGAACAACAGTTTTGTTTTGTTTGAAATTATATCAATTTGATTTAGCTGCGAATGATAGAGGTCACTAGTCTAAGAAATTCAGTTCCCAAAATTTGGTTGGGTTCTTATTTAAAATGAGTAGTAATTCATGCGCCAACTGACCGCTCATTTCATTTAAAGTCAAAAATTTGAAAGAAAACCAGAGGTGCTATTGAGTCATGCAAAACTAGAATGCACAGATAACTTTAGTCTGTCGTTACACTAACGCGATAGAACCTTGCACTAACTTCACAGAATACGCATACGAAACCAGTCTTTAAACTTGCCAGTGTGATAAATGCACTCCTGAGAAGTAATAAAAATAATAAACTAAAGTTATTAGAACTAGGTATGGTATTGATTGTCCATCCATTATCGTTCAGTGGACACTATGACGCGCAAGCTTGTTGCTATTGGTAAATCAACGAGCTAACCAATCAGTCTACAACACACAAGGTTAATGCCGCGAGAATTGAATGTATATAAGCCTCAATTTCTTGTATAAAGGTATGCTACTTCTACGGTATGCCGACATTTTTCACACTTTTATTTCTTGTTGCACGTAAGTGAATTTCAATTACCTGGGGTATTATATAATAAGCTTTATTGTAAACCTTACTGCTTAGGCTTTTTATCACTTTAGTTGTCTGCACAAGTCATGTTGTTGGCCAAAAGCCACTTAGTACTGAGTTGGAGAGAGCACTGAATGATCAGATTACACTTGAATATGAAGCATTCTATATCTACGACCAACTTGTACGTTTTCTCCTGCCTATAAAACTTTCAACAATCTTCAATCTTGATTTCATGCACCTCAATCTTTATTTCATCTTGGACGTTGAGTAATGTAGTACTTGGCGATTGAGAATCATCACTCATCTAAATATTACTATTCAACTAATTAATGCATTTACACCTACTCATATATATTAAGTACAGATAATTTTGACATTTTCCAGAGCGCCTTCTTTAGCCGAAGTGATAAAGCTCTCTACGGTTTTGCCGCCTACTTCAAACATGCAGCTTCCGAGGAGCGTGAACATGCCCATGAGATAACCAACTTGGTGAACAAGCGATTTGGAACAATCTTTTACAAGGATATTAAAAGTGGAAGCAACAAATATAAATTGGATAGCGCCGTGGGCGCCTTGAAAATAGCGCTTCAAAAAGAAGTTGAAGTATCTAATACCTTCCAGGCAATTCTTGACCAAGCAGCAAAAGATAACGACGTTCACGTAAGTAAAAAACTTCATTTTGGATTCCTTACTTGGATGAAATTTACTTATCATAGTCATTTCTGATGTTTTAGATCCAAGATCAACTTCAACACTTCGTGAACGAGCAGGTGGACGCTATCTACAATTTGAAGGCGCTAATCACCCGATTAGAAGGCAAAGGAAGTAGTGTTGAGTTTCTCTTGGATCAGGAACTCAAAAATACGCCTTCTATGCATTAATTAATGTGTCATTTTTTGCTCATTTTTTGGACCCTGATTACAGTTATTCATATACTCATTTTAAATTATTAAAAATATTTTCGTCTTCTTTGCCAAAAAGTGGAGCGGGGGAGAGGAAGATTGTTCCATCCGTCTAGCTGAATAGTATATCTTTCATTTAAGGTTGGCTTACTGACCAGTCTAATGCCATCAAATGAATTATCTTGTCATACCATTTGATTCAGTTTTTGCGCGCACATTTTCTTGAAGAAAAAGCTATGCAATGCGCCTACAAAGCTACCTAGTGGCCTCTAAGAGACAAACGAGGATGTTTATACAACGGTTCTTCATACCAACAACTAGCGTTTAATGCCGTCTCGATTTGTTTTTTTTGGGGCTGATCTTATATGACTTGTTGGGTGGGGGGGGGGGGGGGGGTCATTTTGTGAAGAGCCTTCACGTCGGCCAAATCAAAGGTCACGAAATCAATTTCCGCCGGTGCACTAACAAATATGTTGATGGCCAACAGCACTTATTAAGTCTGACCATGAAGAGGGGTGGGGTAAATTATTGTCAGGTGCGTACACACAAAAAACGCACGAGATCCAACAGTGAACGTGGTTGAGTTACCGATTTACAGAGAGAGAGAGAGAGTTTAAAACACGTACTCATGCTCAAGGTGGTGTCCTAAAGGGAGTTAGTCGTGTGGTTCAACAACGAGAGCCAGGATTTTTCTTTGGGGTCACTGTCATTTAGCTTGATCGGGTAGGGAAGTTCAAAGAGCTAGGCGTCACTTTCAAACCGTATGCTAGATAGCTTTTAGCAAAATAGAGCATCAGAATGGTGGATCCTAATTATTATGCAATACACTATTTCTCTAACCATATTCAACGACAACTAATTATACCTTCATAATTTCATCTTGTAATTAAGTAGATGAGAAAAGGGTTGAAATTATTGTCATTTAAAGTAGTTCCTACTCCCTCGCCTCACTTCTCTAATGCAATTCCAGTCAAAAATTGAGGGATATCCACAGAAGTGAAGTAAAGGAAAGAGAAAGTGGATGATATTCGAAAATGGCAGACGATGTTCACTTGCTCCTGAGTGAAATATGGCCAATGAAAGGCCATTCATTAATTTCCCACTTAAATGTTATTAGCCTCTGAGAAAAAAACACTTTAATTTCCCACTTTCTTCTTTTTCAAGTTGCTCATTCTCCACACGAATTCATTCGACATCTTCTGGCCTTTCAAAGATTCCTTTCGATCAGGACACCTATTTTTCTCAGAAATTCCATCTCGAGACCTTTCTGATTTACTTGATAGTTTGAAAGTGGCTAAGAGGAATTAAAGTGGGCTTGATGCGAGCGTCGCTTTAAATGCCGTAATTCTTGGTCTCGATTGATTGATTGATATCATTGTCTGATCCAAATAATTTCATTTACTCGGATTTCATAAGTGAATTTTCTCTGCCGTTTGACCACAGTTTCAGCCGGAAATCATGAGCCAAAAATACATCACCAAAAAGTGAATGTACCTTTTTTATGACCTAATGCTCGTAAGAACTGTTCTTCTCACTCAAAACCAAACAATTTAATGCGGAGTCATCCTGTGAGTTAGAAGGCAATATTAAATTACGTCCTCTCTCAACCCCCCCCCCCCCTCCCATTTTATCATAGCCCTTTTGAATGTGTCGACAAAGAGATCTGTTAGGTCGTTTGATTGTGAGTGATAAGATGGCGTGCGGATGTGGTCAATAGATCTTAATTTTCAGCAAACAGAACTGACATCAACACAATGCTCCTCCTAACTTCCAACCGAAGACCACAATCAGTAACCCTGTGACTTTTGCGCTTTGTCAATCGATGCTGTGACTATGTCATTGTGGCTTCCAACTATACAGGAATAATAGAAGTTAACGACATGAAAGCGTCGACAACAAACTACTATGTTACTCTAAAGAGGAAGGTGGTGTGGCCCATCCTCCTCTCCAACCCCCCCCCCACCCCAACCCCCAAGTTTTAGAACTTGGTCAATTAAGATAAATGTCTTCTTATGTTTCAGAAGGAAGGGTGACAAATATTTCACAAAATATTTTTCTAACTATCCTTTAAAAAATACTAGCACGCTAACTTTACAGCTGATTTAAAGGAGACAAAAATCCCCACAATCGGGCAAAAGCATTACAGAATAGACTTGAAGTCCAGTTTTGAAGAAAGAGATTGCAAATAGTGATTTATTAGAATTGATTGATTAAACGTGATTTGGCTAGAAGCAATTTCAGTTGCTTTCGATAAACTGACAAAATATTTCTACAGTGAATGGCTTTCAACTTTATTAGCAAAGTTGACCTTTTACTCTTATTTTTAGCTAATTAAATATATGTAAACTGAGTTAAATAAACAAAGCCTTCATATATAAATATAGCTTGATCGGATTTAATTAGATGGGCCGGTTATAAGGTCAATTTCCAATAAGCCTAAATAACATTAAAGCCACCATAAGTTGTTCCATACTTCCTCGTCTGCTTATAAGCACTCATTTTGAGACAAAACGTGAGTACTCTTCTGGAATGCCATCGCTCTTGAATGGCCTTGGAGATTCTATCAAGTTACATTTAATAAATGGAGGTCAACCCTCGAGTAAATTCATTAAGATTTGCTTGGGACAACTCAGTGTATTTACAAATTCTAAGGCATTTTTATTTAGGCACTGGAATAATCAACTTCATTTTCATTTCATTTTTTCCCAGTGATAATCGAGAGAAAGCTTTTGCTTAACGAAGTATAAAAACATATCCCTCCAAATATCGAATAATGCTGCCTTCTGAAGTACCACTAGGCTACAACAGGACCAGGCAGAATATGGAGTAATGCAGATACACTAGTAATTAAACAAAGGCTTTGTTATATGAGCACAGGTGTTAATAAGACCTGCTGAGTTTAATTCAACAGTAAAACAACACATTGACGGGTTAAATATTGAATACCAGCTGATATGAATCGAATACGTAGATATTTAAACTCTCAAATCTATATGATAAGGTAACCAATATCGGTTAAAAATAATCGAATTAGAGGTTTGACCTTATACATTGGGAGAATCAGAATTTATAAATAAAAAAGTACTTCATTGCTTAAAAAAGACTTGAACCAAATGATCACTTTAGCACGAATGTACTTTTCTACATCACGGGGTACTATTAGTTCATTGCGAGTATCTGCAAAACGAAATTAGATTAATGCCATTTAGAAGTGC